AAGCCCAGCAATGATTATGAGGATGGCACAAGACTGGGCAGGGTTTCTTTCTGGTGTACAAAGGTCACTATGAGCTGGAACTGACTGGAAGGCATGTGATTCCATTGGGAACTAGCACTTTTTGTACTATTAAGGAGGCCCTAGCAGTGATAGGTGTGTCTTACACCTAATCAGTTTGGAGTTAAGGAGCCCTGGTCACGCTGTGGGTTAGGTGTTAGGCAAACTGCTCTGAGGGCTCTCCGTTCCCAGAAAGACTTACAGACTTGGAAGCATTATATTGGGTTACAATGCGTAGGAGGCCTGGTGTGGAGCATAGGATAATCACTGGACTACAAACTTCAAGGCTGACGATTCAAACCCATCAACCACTCCTCAGAAATTGGCACAGGGTAACGAGTCAGAACCGAGGCAATGATAGTTAACAAAAATAGGTCAGAATCCACTGCACGGCAGTGGACTGGGAGTGACTGAAACAGGCCAAAATAAATACATAAATAAATAACCTCCCCTGAGAGCCACATCCTAAAATCACACAAAATATTGCAAATATAATTAAAGCCACTGACTTGTACCCTGAATAATGGTTAAGATAGCAAATTTTATGTTATATATGTGTTACCACAACAATATGATGGGATGGGTAAATGGATTTATACTATTGAATGGTTCTTAGTATTTGCAGTATATGAAATGGTGTAATAGTAATTCAAAATAGACTTTAATAGCTTAAGGTTCATTTTGTAATCCCTAGACTAAAAGCAGGAATAACTAAACAAGCCAACAGAGGCAATAAAGGGAATTACTAAAAACCATTCAATTAATCCAGCAGACAAGAAAGGAAGAACAAAGGAACAAAGAACAAGATAGTAGACCAGGGACCAGCCAATTGTTTCTACAAAGGACCAGGAAGTAAATTCAAGATTCTACAGGCCATAGTCTCTGTCCCAATTATTCAACTTTGCCATCGTAGACAGAAGCAGCTTTTGTAGACAGAAGCACACAAAGTACATGAACAAATGAGGATGGCTGTTCTAATAATACTTTAGCTACAAAAACAGGCTACTTTATCACCTACAATGGAGAATCAGTAAGACTAAGCTCTGATTTCTCAGCAGAAACCATGCAGGCAAGAAGATAATGGGATGACATATACAAAACTCTGAAAGAAAATATAAATACCAACCAAGAATCATACATCCAAGCAAAGCTGTCTCTCAAATACAACAGTGAGATTAGGACATTTCCTGATTTAAAAAAAAAAAAAAAATTAAAAAAATTTGTAATGACCAAACCAAGTTTACAAAAAATGCTAAAGGGTGTTCTTTGGACTGACAACCAACAACACAAACAACAGCCTGAGATTACCTTACATGACAACAGTATCCAGAACTCAATCCCGATTTAAAATAAAACACACCTGTAAGAATAAAAATAGTGAACCAGAGATATCAATATATAATGAAGATTTACAAAAGACAACAAGAGGTAAGAGTGTAGATACAGAGCTTCCAAATGGCAAAGAAGTCAAGTAGATTTCAAGACAAAACAACTGTTTTAAGCAGGGAAAAAAATAATAATGAATTACAGGGTAACCTCAAAGAAAATAAATACAGCTTCCCATCAAAATATTAAAAAAAAAAAAAATCAGAGTTAATAAACATGAACACAACAGAAATAAAAATCCACAAAGAAAGCAAACTCAGTGCAGAAAATTACGTGAAACAAACCAGTAGCACCACACAAAAAAAGACACATCAAATTGATAGCAATCAGTTTTAACCTATGGATAATTACACTGAATGTAAATGGACTAGATGCACCAGTCAAGGACAGAGAGTAGCAGAATGGATAAGAAAACAGGATTCTTCAATACGTCGTCTGTATGCAACACATCAAAAAGATAACAGAAGAATGGTTAAACAAACTTTGGTACATACACATAATGGAATACTATACAACACTGAAGAATAAAGATAAATCTGTGAAATCCCTCACAATGTGTATGAACCTGGAGGATATTATGCTGAGTGAAATTAGTCAATCACAGAAGGACAAATATTGTATGAGACCAATGTAAAAAGTTAAGACACAATGTATGATTTCAGGTAGCAGGAAAGGAAAATTATTCATGGGCAATAGGGTAAAATAAACACATGTTAACAGGGGTGACAGGGTAGGCAATATACAAAAAGGAGGAATATTGGGAAACATGATTACAGAAAGCTTGTAAGTCCATCTTCAGCCTGGAACTGATTGTAATATCTAAAAAAGGTTCTAGAATTTGTCAAGTGAAATAGGCTTCTTGCAGAGACTTTGTTGTGTATAGGACTTTAGGTGGAATCCTGAACCCTATCCAGAACCTTCTGAGGTAGGAATGTCCCTGGAGGATATCATGCTGAGTGAAATTAGTCAATCACAGAAGGGCAAATATTGTATGAGACCAATGTAAAAAGTTAAGACACAATGTATGATTTCAGGTAGCAGGGAAGGAAAATTATTCATGGGCAATAGGGTAAAATAAACACATGTTAACAGGGGTGACAGACTCATAGCGACCCTGTATAGGGTTTTCAAGGCGCAGCTGGTGAGCTTCAACCACCAACCTTGTGGTTCAAAGAACCTTTTGGTCCAGTGCTTACCCTACAGCACCATACCAGGATTCCTACTAGACAGTAAATTAGTTGATTCGATTTTTAATTCAATCACGTGGTAGGCTATTTACAGTAAAATTTCAAAAAAGTAAAGAGAAAGGAAATATAATTTGCAAATGTGACATTTTGAATTAAAATGGTAGCCAAGAAAGTTTTCAAGAGATTACATAGTCTATATTTAAGATGCATCATTGAAATCTTTAGTTTTAGAGATTAATGAAATCTCTTACATATAGAATTAACTATGTGACAAAACTGAGTAAGGAATACAATTCGCCCCAGTTCTTATTTTTATCTAAATTGCAAATCTTCTTTAAAGAAATTAAAACAAAACTTCAGAATAGCACCCTGCATTTTGTTAATTAGCATCTCTATACACCCACAGAATATTTGCAACTGCTCTACACAATGCTCTTAAAAATATAAAGCAGCACAAATTTTTAAAAAATGCTAAAAATGGCAGCTGTTCTGTTACATACTTTTTACTACAATTAAAAATATTTTTAATTCTAAAGCCTTCTAAAATACGTTAAGATGGTACTCAGTATAGTTCTGTTTTTCAATGCACTCCATTTCCAACTTAATATGCAAAGCATCATCTACATAGCAACACATCTACTAGCCAATGGAGACCTGAGTTTCCATTTTTATTTAAAACCTCACGAATTGCTCTTTCACTATATCCCCATAGCAACCATACAGGACAGAGTAGACCTGCCCTCCAGGGTTTCCAAGGCGGAGATCTTTATGGAACAGACGACCACTAAACCACTGTGCAACAGGGTTCCTCACCTCTCAACATACAAGAGGACCACAAATAATTTTGTTTCAAGCTCTATTGCTTATTTGGTACTCTTAGAAAACCAAACAGACCTATTGCTGTTGAGTCAATTCTGACTCAAAGTGACCCTAAAGAACAGAATATAATTCTGTCCCTTAAGGTTTACAAAGCTGCACATCTGTACAGGAACAGACTGCTACCTCTTTCTCCCACAGAAAGTTGATGTGTTAGAACCGCTGATCCCATTAGCAACCAATGACTTATATCAGTGACTAAATAATCTTTAAAAATTTTAACAGGGAAGAAAGAATATTGGAGAGGAACCCAAATACCAAACATGCATGAAAAGAGGTATAGAACTTTCAAAACTTTAAAGAAATATGAAAGTGGGGAGAGAAAAAGATACCCATTTCCAAGAATCTAAAGAAAAAATAATGAACATAGTAAATTATGTAATTATTCAAAATAAGTAAGAAGATATGAGTGGTTAGTAAAAGAAATATATGTGGGCCAAAAATGAATGATTATTTTTAAGCCCATTAGTTACAATCAAAGAAAATATGGCAACCTTTTCCTGGAACAAATAGCCCAGTAGCTCTCGCTCTTTTACATCATAATTTATCTAAAACAAACAAAATAAAAGACAGAGAGAGAGAAAAAAAAAAGACCCAGAATCACTCCATTGTAAAAACTAGCTGAATTACATGGGTTTTAAAAATTAACATGTTAAAATACATTCAAAACTTCATGCTACAATCTGCTTTTGTCAGTTAACTAAAAGAAAAACGTCAAAGAATTTTAAAGTTAGATTTGTCTTCACGTAATCTAATATTCTATACTGGGGAAAAAAGACCCCCTCGCCCCCAAGATGAAGTGACATAGCTCAGAGCTGAAGACTAAATTCCTAGGAAGGTAAAAACTAGAAACTAAGCCTCCTAATTTTTTTACCTCTTTGTCTTTATATTCTGACCAAAGATGTCTTATAGTATCTTAAAATATCACTATGTTATATAGCAGAGGCCAACTCAACTGAATAAAGTTTGCCTCTAGTATTGGCACTCCTTAAAATAGTCTAGTTAATATTTCGTTATAGCACATTATGGTGAAAAAACACTTAATAGAGATATAATGCAGATCTAAAAGCTAAAGCTTTTAATTTGGTGAAAAGAATATGGGAAGGAAATCCCTTTAATTAATAAATTCTCTTCTAAAAGATTTAACCTAGTTTTTCCTATCTTGTCAAAATCAAATCCAAAAAATAGAGTCCTTTCAAATTATCAGTTCAACTGGACAAGATAATATGTTTAAAAATTCTAAATTTAACATCTCAATGCAAGACGTAATACCTCTTTAGTCAGAAGTGACACTTGGGAAGTAACCCAGTATACACTATCTGGAAATTTTCATTATTAAGATACAAGTGAGAAATATTTCCCACATCATGCCTAGCTCAAACGTACAATTCGAAGAACATACAAATACCTGAAAGCATTGTGGCCTTTCCATTTTTCCAATTTCTCTAAAATTAAAAAGATTATACCCTACCCTTATCAATGAAGTTGGATTACCTTGTCCAGAGCAAACTTGGTGCTCCCGACTGAAGATAAGGACAGTGTGTGAGAGCCAACAAGGACAAAGTTGCTGGTGCGCACGGCGTTGAGACCGCCTGGACTGGCCATCACTGTACAGAAAGAAGAAATGTGGTTTGGAGTAACTTTCATGACTGTAAACAACCATTCTTTCCACCTACTCTAAGAAGGAGCCCTGGTGGCATTGTGGGTTCTGTGTCGGGCTGCTAACCACAAGAATAGCAGTTTGAATCCACCAGCTGTTCAGGGAGACAAAGCTGAGGCTTTCTGCTCCCATAAAGATTTACAGTCTCAGAAACCCTTTCCAAGGTTGCTATGAGCCAGAACCAACATGACAGCACACAACCACCACTACCCTAAAGAAGGAAATTAAATTGCCAGAGAGAAAACTGTTTCATTTTCCTGTCTTTAAATATGGGAGGAAAAAAATCAAAACATCAACATATTTCTAATGAAACAAAATGGTTAAGTATTTTATACTTAAGTGAGGTACAGGCACTCCTAACTTTTGGGATGGATGTGTTTTCAAAGAACACAGAACCGAAAGATAGGACATTAATAAAAATAAGCAAAAGATTCCGTTGCTAGTGGAGGGTGTAAAGATTAGCAGCAGACTCTGGACTTAGTCTCCGTGGTGTGGGAAAAGAACAAAAGCCCAAAGGAAGGTGAGCAAAACCAGCTCCGCCCCAACCCCCTTGGAAAATTCAGGCCTAAAGCCATTATAAAGACCTTTCCTGGCTTATTGATAGCCCAGTACTTAGATGTTCTCCTGATACAATACAGAATCAAGACAGTGCAGGTAAAAGAAGTCTCTGTAGGCCGGGGCCCATTGAGGAATCACTGCTGACTCAGTGACCTGATAGGGTTTCTAAAGCTTTAAATCTTCACAGAAGCTGTCTGCCACATCTTTCTCCTGTGGAATGGCAGGTGGCTTCAAACCATTGACCTTTCAGTTCGTAGCTAAGCACTTAACTACCAGTGCCACCATGGTTCCATTCTGACAACATAAAATAAATCTTCAAAATAGCAAAAGTTGGGCTGAAGAATAATGCTACCTGCTATGTTATTTCCAAGTGACTATGCATGGGAGTCCTGGTGTGACGCTGTGGGTTAATACGCTGGACTGCAGTCGGTTTGAAGCACATGATCGGCAAGTTCAAGCTCACTAGTCACTCCTTAGAAACCCTATACAGGGTCGCTATGGGTCGGAACCAACTCTAAGGCACTTAACAACAACAATCCATGGGGTTACCATAAATAGGAATCAAGTGAATAGAAACTGGTTTGTTTGTTGTTGTTGTTTAAATAGCCTATGTGTACTGTCTGTTACAAAAACCAAAAACCAAACCCACTGACAATACATTGATTCCAACCTGAGACTATAAATCTTTATGGGAGCAGACAGCTTCCTTCCCCTGAGGAACAGTTGGTGGGTTTGAATTGCTGACCCTATGATTCCAGTGCTTATCCTACAGCACCATCAGGGCTCCTGACTGCTAGGTTATTTTGTTGTTGTTGTTGAGTTGCCTTCGAGTCAGTTCTGATTCATAGTGACCCTGTATAAGGTTGCCGAGGAGTGGCTAGTGGACTTGAATCGCCACCTTGTGGTTCAAATCGACCTTGCAGTCTGGTGCATTAACCCAGAGCTCCACACCAGGCCTTCTTAAATGCTAGTTTGTTGTTAAGTGCTGTCAAGTCGATTCCAACCCATAGTGACCCTGTATAGGGTTTCCAAGGAGCAGCTGGTTGATGACCCAAGCCTGTGGAGCAGCTTGATGCAGGTGCAAGCAGGCAGCAGGCTGTTCTGGCCAGTATCTTACACATTAGTAAAACCCATACAGAAAATATGATTCCAAAGGAAACTAGGGGAAATACTCATAGATCAAGATGGCCCATCTATATAAGTACATGACTGCTTGGTTATTTTCCTTATTTTCGAATTTCAAAGGGTTCAAAAATCAACTCACCTGAAGAATGAAGGTTGCTTTTCTACAGAAAGATTTGAAAAAGAAACAGATTATATTAGATACAAATTCTTTTTAACATCACAAAGACCCACATTTTAGAAAACATTCTCTCCTACATAAATTTCACCACCCCTCCCCCCTGCTCCATCACTACATTTGAAAGATTTCGACAGCGCTAAAAGTTTAGAATGGCTAAGCAACAGACAGTACTGTGTGGAAGACAAAGATCTCTGAAGGAAGCTCAGCCTTGTTTTTGAAAGCTGTACTTACGGTGGTTATGGATGTTAGCAGTCGCTTCGGAGTAATAGCCTAGAAGAAAACACAACTTAGCATATTTCCTATTACCCACTCAGAGCTTAAAGTCAACCTTGAGATACTTTCGCATACAAGACAACCCTTAAAAACGAAACAAATCCTTTATTAACCTATATTGCTCATTCCTTTTTTCAAAAAAAAAAAAAAAGTTCTAATAAATGATGAGTTAAAGTAATGACAAAGAGCAAAAAAGTTTGTACACCAAGCTAGAGTCTGTTCCTCCTAGCTAGCTGAGTTCCTACCTCACTGTTTGTAAGTGTCCGTTCAGAGGGCTTAGTGAGAATTCACAGAAAAGCTGGGAGGGCAGTGTTAGGTGTGAAAAGTTAGTTGTCAAGTAAGAGCAGAAACCATACACTTATTTAGCCCGGTACATCATGGACATCTCTACTCAGGATTAGGATCACTAACTTTATAAGCACATTCTCACTACTCAAGTCTAATAAATGTGCTAACAAGAAAGTTTGAGCCATAAAAATGATTTAAAAACTTTATAACCATTAAAAATTATACATAAATTAAAATTTGTACAATGACATCTATTATTTCTGATTATAATATTTTTGTTGGGTTTCCTTCTTTCTCACCTTAGACTTGGATGTTTTTTTCTTCTTATCAGGGCCCAAGAGATCTTTCTTTTGTACCTACACACAAAGCCAAAGCAAGATAAGTTTAAAATCTGAAAATTGTTCAGAAGAGTAGACCAGTGGTTATTTAGAAAGCATTAACTGCTTACCAAACTGTAAACTTCAATGTTAATTTCAAAGTCATTGGATACATCTTGCCTAGGTGGGGAGAGGGGGACAATGAAAAAAAAAGACTCAATTTTCAGCAAAACAATAGGTGAAACAATCTATAGGTGAAACAATAACATGGAGCAGGTATGCACCTCTTTTGAGATCAATAGCAACATTTGCTCAAGAACACTGGCGTCTAGAAGGGTGAGGATAGCAGGAAGAATGGAAACAGGAAATAGGGAGATGTTCAATGTGGGGACCACAGCATATGAGACAGAATAAAATGTGTATTTTGAATTGTTGAATGGAAAACTACTCTATACACCTTCACCCAATTCACAATAAAAGGGGGGGGGGGGAATAAAGAGCAAAGTAAGTCTCTAAGAAAATATAAATCCATTATCAGTTTTTGAAAATTGTATTTTTCTTCAACAGTAAAATGCAGAAAAATAAGGTTTTTTTTAATGTAAGAACAACCTCAAGTTATGTCATTAAAAATAATGAATACTAACCACAAGACTGAGGGTAAAGGAATTCATTGTGTTTTAAAACAAATAGTTAAAAATCATTTTAAAAACACATAAATTGGTACATACAGTCTATTTTTGCCTATAATACAAGTCAGAAGTATTTTTCTAAGTATTTTACAACTCAAGATCCTAAATAAGAGGACAAGTAATTTTTTTCAAACTGGGTTGTGACTCTGAGCTTGAAAAATAAGTCTGTGATCCTATGTACAAGGAGATTGGGTAATAAGACTGAAAACTGGGCTATTTGTCTCTATAAAAAGGACAATCAAGCATTTCAAAGATTATAAATTTCACATGCATTGCTTAGATTGTATTAACTATTTAAAAAAAAATTTTAAATTTGTTTCAATGATGAAAAAGATTTACTTACAGAGTAAATACAGTAGTGAATGTCAAAGCATCCCCATTAAGTGAGTTTGAAGGACTTGCTAATGGTGTGGCTACCATATTTTCAGCTCCTGATTTTAATATAATTAAGTAATAGTAATTTGCTGCATCTGTAAGAAGTAATGTTTAAATAATGAGCACACAAGAAAAATCAGATTTTTGCTAATCGGCATTCTAGAAGACCAAAGGAATAAAATATTACTGAACCCGGTTTCTATAAAAAAAATTACCAAAATCAACTTTTTGTTTAAAAGCTAAGCAAGACATAAACAAAAGGTCATAATCACACATATTGTGTGTGCTGTAATCATTTACATTCTGCCATCTCAGAATAGTCCTGATGTGGTTTTGTAGGGTAAGCACTAGACCAGAAGGTCTGTTTGAAGCACAAGGCTGGCAGTTCAAACTCATCAGCCACTCTTCGGAAACCCTATACAGGGTTGCTATGAGTTACAACCTACTCGACAGCATTTAACAACCATACCTCTGATTACTTTACTGCAGTCTTCAATTTCTGTCAACCTTATATTTACCTCCTGATCACAATGATTTAGCTAATTGTTTATACCCAAAATGGGTAAATTATAGTATGTTATTTTTAAAGTGAGACCAAAATACTGTTTCTGTGAAAATCATAAAGAGATAAATTCTAATAAAAACATCAACCCGCTCCGCCCAGATCCGACAACAACATAAATAAGAACCTGAAGGACCTAGTTTCTATAAGGCTCAGACTTCTAAAGGTCTCACTTCTTACTTTCCCTGAACTGCAAACACCAAATGTCTAGCCTTCTCTTCACTTAACAATAAAAGTTTAAAAGGGCCTTGAATAAAAAAAAAAAAAAGAAAAGAAAAAAAATTTTTTTAATTCATCTAATGTTTAATAAAGTTTAAATTTAAAAAGTTTTGTTATACTTACCCTGCCCTTTTCACATCCTGAAGCTGTATTGCTCCTTTAGCTACTTTACTTATTTTGTTGTTGTTGTTAAGTGCCATCAAATTGGTTCTGACCATAGTGACCCTGTATAGGGTTTCCGAGGAGCCACTGGTGAGCTTGAACCACTGACCTTGTGGTTCAAACCGACTTTGCAGTCTGACCTACAGCGCTACACCAGGACTCCTTTTTTACTTATATATGATTTTAAAATACATAGTTTAGAAAAGTTTACTGTGGTTATTCAATCGTGAGGGACAAAAGGAATAAAATTCCATGTCCTAACAATTAATAATTTGAGTTATAGAACAAATTTCTACAAAAAGATGATTAACTGAAATAACATTCTTTTAGATGCTCCAGTGTTTTCTACAAATAAAATGAATGAAAGTCTAATGGTCTGCTCTGTTATAATAACTGATGTTAGGAAATACCATATATAATAACAAATGATTTTTCACTGCCTTACCCAATGAGTCATTATGAGTTGAGACTAACTCAATGGCAGAGGATTTGGGGGTTTACTCTCAATTAAAACTAGACCCATGATTGTATGGATCAGTAAGTCTACATATGAGATTTTTTCCTTGGTTATTTTTATGCATATATTTTGATAAAAAAAAACAAAGATAGTAAGTTCTGCATCTTATGCATGCTCAACATGTTCCATTCTGGTTCCAAGCTAGTAAGGTCCCTGATGAAACAGGATCTACAAGTGATGCAAGTTACAAATCATCATACCTGGTTTCTGAGCTGTACCACAGACAAAATCTGCTTTTAGAGGCAAGCGAATCTCTGCCAAAGTAACTGATCCTTTGGATGGGACAAATTCACTTTGGGATGTGGGACTAGTCTTATTCTTTCGCTGAGGTCCTTCACTCTTCAATTTATTCAATTCATCAATCAAAAGTGTTCTCTTCTCAGCTTTAAAAAATATACAAGTTAGTATGTTAAAATTCCAAAGCTTTTTAAACAACTAGCTCAAGAAACTGCATGATGTGGCAAGTGTCCATTAAGACTAAAGGTAACACAGTAAGTCTGTCTACAAACAGGCTAAAGCTTGGCAGTTCATCTGTTTACTAAGTTCCAATATGTAACAGAGTATTGCAACTTTTGATCTACTGTCTTGTGTATTGTAATCTCCCTACCCCAACAACCTCCTGCCCGCCACCCCCACATCAGCCCCACACATACACATACAACAAAATCACATAAGCTTTTTAGCTCATGCACACATACTCTCTCTATAGATATATTTTTTCATTCTTAACATTCACAACTACATTATTTCTAATGCAATCCAGTTTCTTTCGTCTTTCCTGTAACCTTTCATTATATTTTTATATGTAGTGTTTTCACAAACCTTTAAGTACAAGAAACAAAAGATAAACGGGAACAGATTTAGCAGAGAAAGTCCTTTCTCTAACACTGACGATTTCTAAATACACTAGACTGAAATGTGAACATTTGTTGGGAATGACCCAGGTGCACTCACGTACTTGCAATCAGGAGAAGCCTTTCTGCCTCGGCTTCTTCTAGAGACCCTTTTCCATGCTCTCCATCCACGCAGCAGTTCAGAGCCTGGCTAGCTTGATAAATCACTGTCTGTTGCAAATTTATCTCATTATTGAGTTCCTGGTGAAAGCAGTCGGGGGAAGGCACACATTTTAATTTAGGTCATATATTCTAGGGTCATTTAGTTACTTCCTATTTTAAAAAACAACTGTTTTCAAATTATTATACTGGTACTTCTATTAAGGAGTCCTGGTGTGGTGCTATGGGTTATTATACTGGACTGCAATGTTGGTTTAATTCTGATTGCATCATTTCCAAAGTTTCTAGAGAATATAGCCAAAACGTTAACCTCGTTGTTCAAGTTAATCTCACTGTCTATATATTTAACATTCTATAAAGATAATAATCAAACTATAAACATTCTTCCTTATTAAAAGATTTCCAATTCATACTTACCAAAATTACAACTGGGGCGACAGCCAAAGGACAGAGATTCAGAAATGATCTGATTCATTTTAGTTACATTCCATGTACAAGGGGGCTTCGAAAGGTTTAGGGGAAAATCCATGTTTTCATTCCATTTTTCTATGAACTTTTTGAAGCCTCCCTCGTATGACTTTTTAAAAAATAATTTAATGTCTTTCTTATCATAAAAGAACCTATAATAGCAAAATTGGTGATTCAACCTTCCCCCACCCCCAGAGGCACCTCCGAAGACAGGCTTGGTGATCTGCTTCCGAAAGGCCACAGCTTTGAAAACCCCATAGAGGAGTTCTAGTAAACACAAGCATGGTCCATGTGAATTAGAACTGATTCAACGGTAACTAACAGCAACACAAAGAGCAAAATAAACTTCAGACCTCACCATCACTTGATTAACAGACTACAGATATTTATGAGACACGTTTAAATATTTCACCAATGTCACACAATCCTCCAATTTTCCAATAAAAAGGAACTTTTTGAAATGCAATTGAAGGAGGGTGATTTCCTGAGCTCTTACATGTCAGACACTGTTCGAGACACTCAGTGTAGAACAGTCTACTGTAGAACACAATCCAAATCCCCTTTCCACAGAAGGACATACCTGCATCTTTTGCTTGATATTAACTTGACCAGGAAAGACAGGCTTTCTTTCATCCAGTTTTGAAGTAACAGCTTCCTTCCGAACAATCGATTGCTTTATGGAAGGACATTCCGTTTCTTTGAATCTCTGTGATCTATATGCATCGATGCTTCAGGAAATAAGTTGTACTCTATTAGAAAACCAGCAAACCATTGAACACAATCCTTTAATGAACACATCAGAACTTCAACGGAATGAAAAATGGCATTTAGTACTGGAAATTTATTCCAGACTGTTACACAGATGAAATATTAATGACAAGCTAATGATACATTTTAGCACATTCTGTCATATCAACAGAGTTAGTGAATGCCCTCCAAAAATGTCCTTACCTATAAAGAAGATCACGATCTTCAGAATCGATGCTGTCACGAGACTCAGCTCGAGGGACACGGGTTCTTTGGAATTTTCCTGGCTTTGGACTCTGGTCACTGATGCTGGTATCTTTCAGTTCTAATCTAGACGAGGACACTAAACTCTACAGAGAAATGCATCAGGTATTAGAACATGTTGTGACTAATTAACACTGCCTCTAAGCTAAATAAATTAATCATTCTCCATAATTAACTGGATATTTGTTTCCTAAGAATCCATTATATTATGATTTATCATAAAACCAAGGAAAACTAACATAAGTTCCTAAAAAGTAAATGAATAAATTAAAGTATCAAGACAGCAAAAACCTATATTTTTAACTTTTTAAAAATGATGTTCCTATTTGAATCAATTTTCCAGCAGAAATGTAATTATTCAATTCAGAGTGATGGCTAATATCAGTAGTTCGCGCTCAGGAATTGTTAATTATGTACCTGGCAATAAACACTAATATTCTAATCTGATTTAATATTCACAGCAACCCATAATGGGTACTACTAATAATCTTATTTAATAGATGAGGAATTGTGGCATTCTTGTTATTGCTGTAATATGCCATGGAATCAGTTCCAAAACATAGCAACCCAGTATAGGGTTTCCAAGGAGTGGCTGCTGGGTTTGAACTGCTGACTTTGTGGTTAGCAGTCCAGTACTATCTATAGCGCCACGCCAGGACTCCAGCCTTAGTTCATAGATGAGGAAATTGCAGCACAGAGGTTAAACAACCTGCCCAGTGAAGAGCCAGTAAAGGACAGCCAGAATTTGCACTCCAGAGGCGAGCCTTTTAACGAACGTCACAGAGTTTGGATTTTATTCAGGAACAACAGGAACCCACTGAAGAGTTTAAAGCAGAGAATTGAAACAGTCCCCCACCACACCTCGCTACAGAATGCCTATTTCTGTGGGTTAATACGCTGGACTGCAAACTTGGTTTGGACCACAAGGTCGGTGGTTCAAGCTCACCAGCCACTCCTTGAAAACAGGGTTGCTGTAGGTCGGAACAGAGTTGATGGCACTCAACAACAACAAACCAAAAACAAAGGGGAGGTTCCAATACTAATAGGTTTCATTATGCCAGGGGCCTGTTTACACTTAGTGTTTTCTTACCTCTGGACTTACCACACCAACAGTCTGTGCTAATGGAGTCAGTAAAGACATCGAGGAGATATTCAGAGCATCATCCTGTTCTTCGCTGCTTTCTGCTTCTACTCGCTCTATGCCCTCATAACATTTTTCCACATCTCGTTCACCTTCCTCTAAGACATCACTGAAGATGTCATTAATTACTTTTGAACTATTGATATCGTCATCATCATCCACACTCATCTCAATTTCACGTCCCACTTCTGAAAAATATTGCAATGCACAGATAATACTATGATTCAGACCTTACAGAATGACTAGGGAGAGCACAAATGATCCAACATTCATGCTTACTAAACAGACCTGGAGAAAGCCCTCCTGGGAAAAGCACCACCTAACAAAAGATAATAAATCAATACTAATACATAAAACCAAAATAGTTTCAAAGTCCCAATAACATTTTCTATGTAACAGGTATAGGGCCGATAAAAAAAACAATTGCTTTGGGTTTCAGAAAGTACAATGTAACTTAGCACTGAAACTGCAGGATTAATAGCCAAAGCTTCAGACTCCCTGCTCCCCCCCCCCCCACACACACACACAAATGTTCTTTAAAGTAAATCCATCTATAGTTGGGAACTGCCCTTCCACAGGGCATGCTAATTTAGGGCAGGAATTGTTAATCTACAGTCCACAGATGGCCTCTGGGACCAGTCATCTGTCTACTAGTAGATGGAGAGTAGGGGGCGGGCATCACTGAGCCTTTCCTGTGAAAGTCTGTGACAGCCTTAATCAGATTCTCCTAAGAGTCTGTGACCTAAAGATAACTGCTAACAGCACCACATCATTGTGAACACTAGAGTGTGTCAAAGTTCAAAAAAGAGAGAGAGATTATAAAACAACACCATGAAATACAGGAGCACTATAGATCTGAATAAATGCTGCCACTAATATGTTATGTCTTATGGTAAGTATGTCCAGAGAAATAACAAACAAAAACAAACCTCTCTGTTGCTCAATCTTTGGGTCTGGTGTTACTTTTAAGGACTTGTCCTCTTCTAAAAACAGTGTAATTTTCAACGGGCTAGACGACTTCGTCATTTCACATGCAGTGGAACCTAAACATTTTTTAAAGAAAGACCATATTAATATACGTACATACTCTTAAGGAACTGAAATTTTTTTAGCTAAGGAGTCTTATATATCTTTTTTACTGATTATAAAACTTATATTTGTTTTAAAATATTCATATCCAGCAAAGTATAGAGAATCCCCTAAAACACCGATCCTTTCTGAACTGTCCCATTTCTCTTCCTTCCCACAAGAGATTAATAGATTGCTGCTGTTTGTTCTTGCAGCTTTCCCAATATGTATGCATATGCATACAGATTTTTAGGGCTGATGCCATAGGATAAGCACTGGACTGCTAACCAAAAGGTCAGCGGTTCAAACCCACCAGCTGCTCCTCAAAAATCCTTTACAGGATCGCTATAAATCAGAACAGACTCGATGGCATTTAACAACATCAGAAGGTGATATTATACATGACATTCTGCAACTATTTTTCACTTTAGAAAAGTGACCATGATGTGTCATGTATGCAAAAGCTACCTAAAGCTTTTAAGCAGCTCCATAATATTTGATTATATGAATTGATCATGCTTTATATTTAAACAGTCTTCTGATGATGAACATTTAGGCCATTTTAATCTTAATTCTACAGAAAACTGATATATACAAACATACATATCTTTGCACACTGTTGTGGCACTATAGGATAAGCATTGACCTGCTAGCCACAAGGTCGGTAGTTCAAACCTACCAGCTGCTCCTATAAAGGGTCACTATGAGTTAGAACTGACTTTATAGCACTTAACAACACTATTGCAAACCGATATACAATACATACACATAGATCTTGGCACACTAGTTTTAGGAATTCATCTTATAGAAACAATTGTAAAAAAGCTAAATTAAAGGACTTGAAGAGTCTATAATTAAATAGATATTATTAAAGACTCTTCATGAAAGCATATCATAAATTACACATGAGTATATGTGGTGCCATAAGGAGTGGTTACGAGTTGGGCTGTGAACCTTAAGGTCAGCAGTTCAAAACTTTCAGCTGCTCTGCGGGAGAAAAGATGAGGCTTTCTGCTCCCATAAAGATTTACAGCCTCCGAAACCCTGTACAGGGTCGCTATGGGTTGGCACCAACTCGACGGCACTTAACCACAACAACTTATGTGGTGCCGTAGGATAAACACTCAACCACAAGGCTGGTCTGAATCACAAGTTTGGCGGTTCACTCACTAGCCGCTCCTCAGAAATCCTACATAGGGTTGCTATGCGACGGACTGACTCTACAACAACTTAACAACAACAATGTAGCTCTGGAAAGGAAAACATCATATTGCACAAACAGAAATGAAGAAATAAATCTCTTTTTATACCAGAGTAGAACTTCTGCTTTGCAATCTTCAGGAAAACTAGGATAAACTGAATTTGGCCACATTTTTAGTGCATATCAACTGACCTGCAGGCTCTGTGCTGGAAGTCTGTGTTGCTGTCTGATTTTCTGTCACCTTTTCCGCTACCGGAACTGATGGAGTATCTGAAACAACTTGCGATTTTTGGAGGGGAGTATTCTGACAGTGAATTTCCTGGATAACACAAATGAAAAAAGATAAATTTTCTGATTTTTTTTTTAATTTTATGTTATTATGAGTCTTTGTGGCACTATAGGATAAGTGCTGGATCACAAGGTTGATTTGAACTGCAAGGTCTGTGGTTTAAACTCAATATTCGCTTCTCGGAAACCCTATACAGAGTCATTGTGAGTCGGAACTGACTTGATGACACTTAACAACAATAGCAACATATTATTAATGAAACAAATAAGAGTCATTATTCTGTATGAGATTCCTCAGATCAAAAGAGATAATGTATGTAGTCAGCTGTGATTACAATACAACAGGCCCTGAAGCATTAATTCATAGCCTTAGGAATTCCCAGGAGGCACAATTATTTTTAAAGACTAAAAGGCAAGAGAGCATTAGAATTCTCATCAGAGTTCAGTTTTAGATAAACCAATTAAAGTGAAATTACACAAGCAGAAAAATAATTCCTCTTGTGACACTTAGTTTACCTATAAAATCTGGTGACAGTTCTTACTTCAGGATCCATTTAATTATCAAATCTAGATAAATCAAAGAAGGATCAAAACAAATCAGAAGGTAAGGAAAAAGGAGTGAAGGGCAAAATGTTTCTTTTCTGAGTCTTTTTAAATTATTTATAAGGCTTTGGAAGAGAACTTTTTTTCTTTTCTTTTCTTTTTTTTTTAAAGATAAGGCTTTATAATCCAAGCTATAGTAGAGATAATACAAATAAAAGTAAAGAGATTCCCAATATTTACATAGAGTTTAATGTGTACTGGTTACCTGTACATTCACTGGCTCACTAATCCTCCCAATACCCCTGGGAGTTGTTGATAAGTGCCGTCAAGTCAGTTCCGACTCATATGGACCCTGTATAGGGTTTCCGATGAATGGATGGTAGGTGGGAATCGTAGACCTTACAATTAGCAGTCCAGTGCTTATCTTAGATCGACACACTAGGACTCCCTTTATGCCTACTGCTTCAGTTAATCTTCCCAATAGCTCTGTAAATTAGGTATTATTATTATTACTTCTATTTTAAAGACAAGAAAATTGAAACTGAGGGGAGTTAAGTAACTTGACCACACAGCCAGTAAGTGGCAGAGCTAGTATACAAACTCAAGTAGTTTTGTTGCTGAGTTAGCCCCAGACTATACAAGCAGCCCTCCACTTAAGACACATTCGAGTTACATCAAACAACACTTGGGAGCATCAAGATTCTGCTGCTACATAAGGAGGATATCCCAGGGCATCCTCCACATGAAGATCTCCTTCCCAGGATGACAGCTACGGTTCCGCCTATGGATCAGGGTGCATTCGTCCCTTTCAAGACATTCTTCCTAGAGTATTGCTCAGGTAGTAGCTCAAATGATGGAGGAATGATAACACTACATGATTTCTGCAAGAATTACAACATTCTTCAGTGTATCTGAAACACCGCATTTTCCTGGGAGGAAGTTAAGAGAAAATACACGCAAGGGGTTTAGGAGTAAAAACTGCTGAGTTATGTGAACACGTTCCAAGCGTTTGATCAAGATAATAGGATAGAAGAGATCGGTGGGAAACTCATCCATATGGCAAGAACGCTGAGTGGGTATCTTGATACGACCAATGTGTAAGAGCTCACAAATCATCAAGAAGGGTTGCTAAGAGATCAGAACTTAACAGATTTTGAAGAGGCAAGAAATGCTGAAGAAAGAATAAGGAAAAAGGTGCGATGTTGTCAGGAGCTAAAGTTGCTTGAAAACATGGACTCAAATGCTGACTGCTTTGTAAAAGGCAATGGGGCAGATTCCTGAAGGAGCGAGATGCTTGTGTGAAATAGATGAAGAAAACAGAAAAGGACCACACTTACAACTAATTTTCTGACTAGAAACACCATCCCCATTCCTAGAGATAATCCACCTGATCCAGAACCCTCCACAAGTGCAGTTATTACTGCAGCTGACAAAACGCCAGCATCATCTAACTGTTCCTCATCCAAGTCCATTTTTATGATTTGTGTATTTTGCTTGTATTAAAATACATTTGTAAGTTTCTATGTAATGCTTCCAGCCCTTAAGTGACAAAGACTGGATTTATAGAGATTAAAAAAAGGCAATAATAATGAACACTAATTTTCTAAAAAAGAGGTATTTGACTTATGTGAGAATTGGCTTTGAATGAAGGGATTGGAACGGAACCCCATCATAAATTGGGAACTATCTGTAGTGTCTCTAAAGTTAGAAGCCTTTAGTATATACAAAGAAAGCCAATTACCAAATGCTGCAGCTGCGAGGCAAGAAATGTGATGAAAGGAGAAATGGGATAGGGTAAGTGCATTTCAGAATCAGGAAGAATGGGTTGAGAAAAACAACCTTAACATACCCCACACTCAGTGGGCCCTCAAACATTTGTTGAGTAAATGAACAAGTGACTGCAGTGGTAATGGAAAGGCTAAATACGCTGACCGTGCCCCACATCCTTGGTACTGTGGATCACTCTGTTGAGTTGATTCTGACTGACAGCGACTCTGTATAGGGTTTCTAAGGAGCGGCTGGTGAGCTTGAACCACCGACCTTGTGGTTCAAACCGACTTTGCAGTCCAGCGCATTAGCCCATGGCACCACACCAGGACTCCTTGCTCAAGAATACAGAGTGGTTAAAGGAGAAGACAGTGGACTCAAGTTAATTAGCAGCAGCATCTTGGACAAGTGGTTTATGAGGGTTCATGGCAAAATTCCATTATCTTTTAACTCCATTTTTACACAAACTTTTAAAGCCCCTTTGAGCCTCATCCAGAGAGAGGGAAACCATGTTATTACCTAATCCACAGGGTTATTATGAGGATTAAATGATATACTACAAAATAAGTACCTAGCAAAGTCCTGGACTACTGTTCTAACCATTAATTGTATTTACATACCGATCTGTGCTTTCGCTCCCCTAAGTGAAACACCCCCACATCTCTCTCCAAAGACCCTTTAATATGCCTGAATAATCCTCTTTTATGGTAAACAAATTTTCCTTATCCTCTTCACTAAATAATCTCTCTACTTTTTGACCCTAACAGAAGATAGGACTTACCCTACAAATCTCTGAAATAAAGGTGATTCTTTTCAGAGATGTCTCTCGTAAACGCTTGCAATATCAGAAACGACTCTTGAGTCTCTAATCATATGTCCATGCTCTTATGAATCTTCTTTTTACAGCTCCTGTCCTCTGAGACACAAGCCTCAGGTTATACTGCATCCTCATTCCGCCCAAGTCTCTGTTATCCATGACTAACCCACAAGTCGCTACCTCACTGCTCATTCATTGTTTCAAAGTCACCATCACCTAGGCAATACTAGGAGCCACCAGGGTCTATCCAAACAACACCCTGGCCTCTCAGCTGCATGCCTGCTTCTACCCCAGTGACTTTCCCTGCCATTACAATTCAGCTATCACCGAAGGTGGTTTCATCTCTGAAACCCTGTATACAAATACCGCACTCTAACAACAGGGCTTCAACCTCACTAGCCCATCCAGACTTTGCTCTTTTGCCTCATCGGTACCTCTGGTCATTTGACATTTTTCTTCCAATTCTCTTTTATCTGTTTTTCTGGCCTCCATCCATATTAGACTTTGTGACCCTTTCCCTCAACCATTATCTTACTACTATCTCGAACTCCATCACTTCAACTATTCTTTCATTCCTCCTGTCTGGGAAAAGCTCAACTCTGGATCAACCCACCTTCTCCATGTTTCTATTTAAGCTATTTGCACATATCATAACTATAGAGTTTTAGTCCATTGTAAATTCATGATGTCATATCCCATCTGAGTCAATACTAACTCCTATTCCTTCTGTTTCCAAGATGGCTCTCTCTCATCCTTAATATTTCTGCCATCACCGCCCCTCTGCTAAGATGCATAGGCTAATGCACTACGCTGCAAGGTTAGAGGTTCAGAGTCACCAACTACTCCTTGGAAACCCCACAATTGTTTGGACTGAGAACCAACAGACAACAGAACTTGCATGACAACACCACCCAGAACTCAATCCAGATATAGAACTCTTTAAAATGAAGCAAACCTATAAGGCTGAAAAAAGGGAGCCAGTAATATCAATTTATAATGAAGGCAAATACAAAGCAAAAAAAGAAGGAATCGTGTAGATACAGAACTTCCAAATGACTAGAAGTCAAGTAGATTTCAAGATAAAATAAATGTTACAAGCAGGGGGAAAAATTCATAAACTAGAGGTAATCTGAAAGAAAATTAATACTCCTGGACATCAGAATAAAAACAGAGGAAACTCAGAAAGATTTAATAACATCAATCAACACAACAGAAATGAAAATGAGAAGAGAACCCACAAGCAAAATGAACTCAGTGTAGAAAATTATGTGAAACAAAGAAACAGCAGCACCACACACACACACAAAAATAAACAGAAAAAAGACAGCAACCAATTTATCCTTATTGATAATTCCACAATAGATAAATGGATTAAATGCACTAGTTAAGAGACATGGAGAACAGAATGGATAAGAAAAGAATCCTGCACTATGCTGTCTGTAAGAGACACATCAAAAAGATGGAGACAACCTACATACTCATCCATAGAAAAATAGTTATGCAAACTTTGGTACATACACAAAATGGAATATTACACAACGTTGAAGAATAAAGATTAAACTGCCAAACACCTTACAACATGGATGAACCTGGAGGCCAGTATGCTGAGTGAAATTAGTCAGTCACAAAAGGACAAACACAATGTTGTAAAAAGTTAAGAAAAGGTTTTCTTGATAAAAGAAAACAATCTGTGATGGTTATGGGGAATTGGGATGAGCAGGGACCTGTCACTGGAGAAGGATCTCATGTTTGGTCAGGTGGAGGGTCAGAGAAAAAGAGGAAGACCCTCCAATGTATTGGCAGCATCAATGGACTCTAGCATGGCAACAATGTGAGGCTGGCCCAGGATTGGGCAGTGTTTCATTTTGCTGTGTATAAGGCCGCTATGAGTCAGTACCGACTTGACGGCACCTAACAACAAGAGGGAAGACACACCATGGGTGACAGGGCAGGCAATATACAAGAGGGAGGCTGACAGTAGAGAGGTGAAGGTAGCAGGAGACACAGAGGTGAACACAGTAGTTAAAGTGAATAGAGGTGAATGCTGTTAACTGTTGGTGCATGGATGGGAATGCAACCATGCTGTGAAGCAAATTATATGATTTGTTGAATGTAAAGCTGATGATCTGCTCTGTAAACCTTCACTTAATTCATAGTAAAAAGCTAAAAAATATACAGGAATCTGAACTCAATTGAATAATGGGAACTATTTCTTTAATTTGAAGATCCGTGTACGTAGTGAAGAGATTCCATGAAAATGGAAAAAAAGAAAAGAAACGCAGAATTGGTAAGAGTATTTAAGGAGTTATGAATGAAAAATGGTAGTTAATCAGAATAGTATAAAGTACATAAAGAATTATCCTATAATTAAGAACTATAATATACTGAAACAAATTCACTTTTATATTTTTGTTTATGTTACCTTTTTGGTTTCTTGTTTACTTCTTGAGTTTTCTCCTTTTTCTGCACTCCATAAATTACTCTTGTCAAATCGTCCACGAAGACATGCTAGTTCTTTTTCACGTTCCTAAACCCATTAAAAGTTGTATTTTACACAAGAGCCAGTAGTATGTGTAAGAATATTATCAAAGAACTACTAAAATTTCTTCAGTTCTAAAATTAAAAAATGCTGACAATACACACGGACTACAAAGCCACAATATTTCCAGGTTGGAACAAGTGATACAGAAAACCAAGATGCTATTTATCTCAGTCAGAAAAACTAGAATTAGAAATCACATTTTGATTTCTAGTTTCTCTACTAAAGCCTGACAATACAGTTAAATGCAGTAAATTGTACCTGTTTGAGCTGTTTTGCTAAATGGGTAGTAGATGAAGATGTGTTTTGCTTGAACAGTCTTTCTTGAATGGCCTTTGTATTTGGAGTGATAATGGGGGTCCTATGGGGTGTGCTAGGAGCTGGACTTCTTTTGCTGTGTTCTTGACAACGCTCCCCAAAGCGTTCCAGAAAAGGCTTAATTCCTGTTGTTCCTGCAAAAAATAAACATATTTTTGGAGACTATTCACAGTAACAGTTATGATCTCCAATATCAAAGTTCTAAAGCATAGTGGTTACGAATCAGGCTATGAACATCAAGGTCAGCAGTTCAAAGCTAGCAGCTGTTCTGCGGGAGAAAGATGAGGCTTTCTCCTGTAAAGATTCACAACCTCAGAAACCTGGCACAAGGTCACTATGAGTTGGAACTGACTTCACGGCATATCACCAACAAAGTCCATTAGTGTTCCAAAGTCTTTGATTTTAGGAGTTAGGCAACTTGTCCTACTAGGATTAGTCATTCTGAAAATAGTATAAAAATTTTAAACTTAATCACACAATTCTACTTAAATCTATGTCCTAAATTTTATTTAGTTCTTTTATGAAAGAAGGTGGGAAGGGGAGACTGAGAGGTCAGTGAGGGCAGTGAGGCTTAGGCAAACCTCAAACAGAACCATCAGAGTCTAAATGACTGGACATGGACTGACTGTGTACTAACAAATCTCCACACTCCATGAACTGTCCTGGCCACTAGGACTTTTCATAACTCCTATTTCTACAGCCAAATTTATTTTATCTTGCCTTTATGAAGTTCAGGGGTGCTCCCCACTTTACTCTTTCAAAAGCAAAATTAGAGAGTGTTCACTTAATCAAAGAGATATCTTGATTTACAAAATCTAAAACCAGTACTCATTGGAAATCATATGATGTATATTTAAATCAGGAGTCCTGATGTGGCACTGTGGGTTAATGTGCCAGACTGCAAAGCCGTTTGAACTGCAAGGTTAGTGGTTCAAGCTCACCAGTTACTCCTTGGAAACCCTATACAGGGTTACCATGGGTCAGAACCAACTCGACTGGCACTTAACAACAACATATTTAAATCAGGGAAATGAAATCCTCACGCAGCACTATAGGATTAGCACTGGATCAAACTTAACAGCAGTTCCTTGGAAACCCTATACAGGGTCACTATGAGTGGAAACCATCTCTATGGCACTGAACAACATCAATGGGATTCATGTCCCCTCTATCATGATGATCCTATGGTTGTTATCTACATCAGAGTAAAGGGTCACATAGTAACTATCTTGGACTTTGAGGGTCATGTGATTTCTGTTGGAACTATTCAATTCTGCATTGTAGAATGAAAGCAATCACAGACATTATACAAATAAATGGATATGTACATGTTCCAATAAAACTTTATCTACAAAAATATGCTCCTAAAATGTCATTTCCAATTTATATAATTTGCTTGCATCAAAGGATACAGAACAAAAAGTATTTAGCATAACTAGCGTAGGGGTTACGCATCGGGCTGTGAACCTTAAGGTCAGCGGTTCGAAACTACCAGCTGCTCCGCGGGAGAAAGATGAGGCTTTCTGCTCCCGTAAGGATTTACAGCCTCCGAAACCCTATACAGGGTCGCTATGGGTCAGAACCGACTCGATGGCACTTAACAACAACAACAGCCAAGAAAAAGTATATTTAACTATTAAAATGCAATAGGTTTTATACTTTGACCAGTAAATGGGCTAAGGTATACTTATGAATAGAGTCCTGGTGTGCCATGGTAGAATAAGCAATGGACTATTAACTACAAGGTCGACAGTTCAAATCAAGTAATGCTGAACTTGAAGAAGCCATATTCAGAACATCTGGGCATTTGTCCTGGCAAACCAACTGTGTGGCATTCACAATCGCATATTAAATGTTAAGAATAACATTCTAAAGATAGCCAGCAGTAACTTCAGATTAAAAAAAGATTAAAAAAATACATAACCTGGTGTTGTAGATTTTTCTTTAGAATGAGACTGTAGGTAAATTTCTCTATTTAGTTCTTCTTTGGGCCGAACTATTTGGGGGACAGTAGACTTCACAATTGGTTTTGATACCTCTGTTTTCAGAGGACTAGCAGGATTTTCTTGAAGCAGCTCAGGATTTTGTACTTCACATTTTTTAGCATCAGTGATGGACGCAGTAGAAGACTTATGTGGGGAAGAAGCTGCTTTCTGAAACATGAGAGTACTTAGGGTAAACAATGATATTCACAATACCTACAAAATCCTATTTGTAGTCTTATGCAGATTTAGGGAAACAAATTCTTGCCATATAATATTGTCAAACCAATTTGAAAGGTTTGGAAAAAAAAATCAACTTAAAAAATGCTATTATAATTTAGGTCATATATTCTAGGGTCATTTAGTTGCTTCCTATTTTAAAAAACAACTGTTTTCACATTATTATACTGATACTTCTATTAAGGAGTCCTGGTGTGGTGCTGTGGGTTATTATACTGGACTGCAATGTTGGCTTCAACCGCAAGGCTGGCGGATCAAGCTCATCAGATGCTGTTCGGAAAGAGGGTCGCTACAGGTCAACTTGACAGCACTTAACAACAACAACTTCTACTAAATTTTAAATTGTATTAGAACAAATTACCTGGTTTTGTACTTCAGTTAAATTAATATCAATTAAACAAAACAGTAGTATAGTTGATTGCTAATTCTAATGGAAAGGTTAGCAATTCAAATCCACCAAGGGGTTCTGTAGGTGACAGACTTGGTGACCTGCTTCGGGAAAGATTACAGCCAAGAAACCCCCATGGGGCATTTCTAGTCTCCCATATGGAGTCACTAAGAATCGGAACCAACTCCACAACATCCAACAGAACATATGCCAAGCACAATGCAAGATGCTAGATGCTCAGGATCTCATTTAACCTTTTCAATAGCCCTTTTCTCCATTTTACATATGGAAAAAAAAAAAAAGACTTTGCAAAATCAAGTAACTTATCCAAATCTACACTATTAATTATGTGTCACTGAATATAAGTCAAATTCCAGAGCCCAGATCTGTATCTCAGAGACAAGGATCAGGAAAACATCAGCCCTTAATTGTTGTTGTTGTCACTGTTGTTTTTAAAAACAGCTAGGGTAATACACGCAACAGAGAAGTTTCTAAGACTTCAGAAGGAATGCGATGAAATTGCCCCATTGGGTAGTTTGCTGTCCTGGGGGTGACTGCAGCTACAAGCTGACTAAGTGTTTTCAAAGATACTGTATGTCTCTTATTTACACCCACACATAATGCGTTATAATAGAGAAATTAATCTCCAGTGCTCCTTTTCATGGCCAAGACTCCATCATCCCATATGACATACTTTGGCTGCCCATTAAAGTGGTGCAATTTTAGTTGTCAATGGCTAATTTACCTTGCAGTGGAGTTCCAAACTGAAGATTTTTAGTTTTTGTAGAGCCAGTATTGCAAAAATACACACACACTATTTCTATATTAGAAAATATAAACCTACACATATATTGTAGAATCTATACCAATACACATTACCACTAATAACAAAATAATACATAAAAGATTTTCAAAGACCAAAATTTCATTTACTTACCACAGAGGTGGCAATGGGGGCATTATGCAAAGATGCATCCACAGCCTTTGAGGATGAGGCTTTATTCAGAGAGGCATCCCCATCCCTTTGGGAACAGTATGTAGCTTCCTGCTTAACACTGCTGCTATTGATCCTAGCAGATGCTTGACTTGCAGAGGAAAATTTGGATAAACAAGTGGTACCAGGCTGTTCTTGCGCACTGTTTTGCTTTGCAGATGAGTGACTTACATCATCTTCCCAAGAGCAAATAGTTGCAGCAAGGTTGGCCAGCCGGCCCCTTCTCCCAACTGGAGTTGCTGAGGCATCTGAAAGGTGTGGCTTAGGAGGGGAGGCCGCCTTTTCTTCACATGGCACTGGTGAGAAGAGTGAGCTTTCATCTGAAAATATTTCCAGAAAAGAGTTAAAAACCATGTTCAGGGGTTGTAGTCATGTGTAGTATAGGCTCACCCCGTACATACTTCTTTTAAGATGAAGCTAATAAGTTTAAGAATCAACGCAAAGGTCACAAATGCATAAAACTGACAACCTGTTTAAATTTAACAGCATCTTTTCGAATCAGATGGCACAATCTAAATCCAATAAAATAAACTTTGCCAGATCTACTTTTCAATTTTTTGGTGCCACCAATAGATGCTATAAGATACTATGTTTTCATTATATAGGCAGTTCCTGACTTACGATGTATTTGAATTATGGCAAATTTCACTTACGACTGGAGTCCTGGTGTGGCAAAGTAGAATAAACAGTGACGTGCTAACTGCAAGGTCGGTGATTCGAACTCACCAGCCGTTCCTCGGAAACTTTACACAGAGTCACTGAGTCAGAACTGACTCAATGGAACTTAACATCATTTATGACCATCTGTTTTGTTCATTTTTTAGAACATCTTAGTAATATATCCTGCATATAATGTTGCAGTCCATACTATTCTGATGTTATTATCATTTGCAGATGTTCAATTGTATGACTTTCTGTTGCAGACGTAATGAAGAGGAAGCTCTGGTCATGTCTACAATTGAGCTGGTATCAGTTACAGACAGGAAGGTGAGCGGTATTCAATTCTAATTGCTTATGATGACTAAACTGCATACCCCCAGCAGCAGTTAGAACTCTGACTTCATTATTAACACTGAGGCAGATTTCATTGTAGACCAAGCCTATGTTGTTGTTGTTAAGTACCGTGGAGTAGGTTCCGACTCAGTGACCCTGCAACAGGGTTTCCAAGGTAATTCAGTTACAGGATCAGGTTTTTGTGACTGAGTCTAGGAGCCTCATCAGCCTCTACTTCTATAGAAACACAACCAATTTATAAATACCCTAATGGTATAGATAGAATCTGCAAACAGAGGAGACTCGGGATCTAGGTAAAACAAAATCATTTACCTCTCAAGTATTAACTGATAAATAAAATTTCCAACATACTAAGTAGAATCATAATAATATAGCTTTCAGGCCCATCTAACCAAACAGTTTATACCTGCCACATCAGTGTTCTCCCAGTGGCGGCGTTGCTCTGCAAGTTTCTGCATACGTGTTTTAACTGAGGAGGCTGCAGTTCCCTCCAGTCGTGAGGCCAGCCCCTTCTTGGTGCTCAGCTGTGATGATGGCACAGCCACAGAATTAGTGACAGGTGATGGTGCCTGTGGCTTCGGCTGAGGAGACTGGGGACTCGGAGAGCAAGGTTTTGCAGAAACTGACTCAACTGGTTGTTTATTTTCCAAGTTAGAAATGGCTTCTGCCGTGTTGTCAGAACAGCGTTTTTTTGATGGTGATGGCTTTGTACAAGATTTCTCTAGGTTGAAAAGAACCAAAATAAAAACATTCAAAATTCTGAAATTTTTCACCACATCCACAAAAAACTTTGAGCAGGTACTTAACAAATTAATCAAATATTGCCAACGTGTTTCTTTTTTCCTTTCTTTGATTTTAGTTACTGTAAGAAATACAAGTGGGCTTCAAAACATTCTTGGTAGAATTACATTGTCTTTAAATTTCATCTTTCCACGAGCTTTTTTAAAATCCTCTTTTAACATAAACTCTTACTTTCTTTCAGGAACTTAGAATCTAGGGTTTGAGATTTCTTTTTAAGGAAACATTGTGTGTACATGTTATGTGCATACACACAATCTTCCTAAATCAACAGGGAATAAAAATTGCATATATACTAGAATAAGCAAATGTTCTAAGATATTTTAAAGATAATACAGCCAATCACCTCATTTTATCTTTAACCTTAGGATAAGAAAGGTCATACCCTGAGAAATTCAATTATCTGACTGAAGTCACAAGCTAACTGAAGAGTAGAAATTCGTTTTTCAGTTGTTCACGGACAGTAACTAATCAGCAAAGGTAACAGGTCAATTGGCTTGATGTTTAGGAAACAGACAAGGAAGAGACAAAGTGACAGAATTATCTAGTCAGTACCAAACAAGTTCATCTGCACAAATGTTTAGAGTTCATATTTTAATCGTCTATGAAGAACAAAAAAGTAAGTGAAAAAGTCCTAAAATCGAAAAGAGCTATCCAAACATAAGGCATATTATTTCTTCCTGGGGAGTTGTTTTAAAATATCATCTTGAAAACAATATTTTAAAAAGTGAGAATGCAAATTTCATGAGTCCGTTTCAGTGCATATCCAAGAAGTATTCTTATTCAGAGAAAGACCACAGTAATAAGTCACCAGTACCTTTATGTATATCAAGTTAATAAATATGCATTGTGCAACTTTGTAAGATTCCAGAACTCATTTATGTCCCTAATCATCTTTTCAAACTGTTCATATTATAACATACAGTACTACCTGCAATAGAATTTACAGTTCCTTTGAAAACAGTAAATACTGCCATTTAAGCATCAAAACGTAGCCCCAACTACAAGTTTTCAAGGACATAGTACTCAATACTTGATTGCATACATCTCTGTCGTAGTGAAAATGGGAGGAGAGTCTGGACCATAGATGTGATGTATATTTTCCTCACTCCTTCAAAATGTACAAGTCTATGAAAATACATTCTCTTTCTGAGATTAGCCCCCAAAATAATTGTGAGCCAACCCCATGCCCTTTTCTTTGCTTTCCCGTAACACTGGCTGGACTTCTCTAACATGTTTTCTTTTTCTATATGTATTTTTACATTGTACTAAGAAAAAGCATTATAGCCAGACTGTTCCATACTCCAGGTAAACATTAAAGCAACTGGATAATGCTAGCTGAGATGCCAGGATTTAGGAAAGAAGCAGATGAAATTCCAGGGGAGTTTGGGTCTGTTTGTGCGGGTCTATGTGTCCTTTTAATCCCGCCAGTTCTGTAGATTAACAAACTAAACCTTCCCTTTAGACCTGAAGAGTTGGTCCGGCAGACAGTGGATGGAAAGGGTCATGAAATTTCAAGTACGGCTATGTATTGTTGTTCTGCTAATGCCAGAAACACCAATCTGAACTCGATTGTCCCTGTACAATCTGAACTCAGCTGTTCCTGTATACCACTATCAGACGAAACATTACCCTGCTCCTTTATTCTTCTTCCCTTTGGTGTGTTCAAAATAAAATTTGAAAATAAAAATTTCCTCAATCAATTAATTTGAAATACAAAGGGGTTTCAATATGTACATGTAAAAACGAACTAAAAGATCATGGAAGCTTTCCACAATCTTTTTGAAGTCCCCTCATATTTGCTAAAGGAAATTCTGTTCTGGTCTGATAAGAACCAGGCCTAATAACGTATATGCAAAACCCCCAAAACTTGACATCTTGGAATGTTATGATGATTTCAATTCACAGCAACCGTACAGGATGGGGTGGAAGTGCCCCATAGGGTTTTCAAGGCTGTAATATTTACGGAAGCAGACTGCCACATCTTTCTCTCATGGAGCTGCTGGTGGGTTCAAACAGCTGACCTTTCAGTTGGCAGTCAGATGATTCACCACTGTGTTACCAGGGCTCCCTTTTAATATAATATGTTGTTGTTAAGTGCCATCAAGTCAGTTCACACTCACAGTGACCCTGTGTAGGGTTTCCAAGGAGCAGATGGTGAGTTTGAACAGTACACCTGTCTGGCAATCTAGTACTTACCCTATCTAGTACCACATCAGGACTCCTAATACAATATATAATAACCTTGAAATAGATCATTCCCCCATAGGTTGTTACATTTATCGCCTAGAGATCTTGCTTCACCTATATCTATAACAAATGTTTGGGACTTATTTTCTCAGAAGGCTTTTACTGTTCCCCATGTGGTCTTTTACCTTCACCACTAGATAGGGGTGGCTGGTTGCTTGCTTCTGAAAGTGGTTCTCTAGTCCGCTTGGTGTGACTCGTAGATCGTGGGGCAGGTGTGGGCCTCTCAGCCATTTTTCTCTGGAGATTCTCTCGCCTGGCACGAGTTCGTTCAAGCAGTTTCTATATGTAAAAGAGCATTGAAACACATATTTAGACAGAGGTTCACAAAATTTCAAATATAAGTTAAAATCACCAATCACCATGTAAGAAGAGTTCAATATACTTCAAAAGTGAAGTTCCAAGAAATGAAGCCACCACTACTGCAATCAGCTCTGAAGGAGATTGCATTGGAGGGTCCTGGATGGAATGGGAGAAAATGTAGAACAAAACACAGAATCATGGGAAAGACCAGGCTTACTGGGTGGATGGAGATTTGTAGAATCCTGATACTATGACCCTTGTGGTTGCCCTTTGGAGCTGAATTAAGTTTGTACCCAGCTCAATTTTCATCCAAGCAATGGATAGGTATATAGAAGTGCCAAGGGTGCTGTTGAGTGATGCACACTGTAGAATGGGCAACCGTTTGGGATAAGGAGGGCAGCATGTACCCTAGGATGAACTTGGGAATGGTTGAGAAGGAAGTGGAGGTGGAAACAGCAGAGAGGAAGTGGAATGGGTGGTGTTGTACTGAAGGGACTGTAATCATTGAACTCAAGCTAAGTGTAAGATTTGTTCATTGTTAAGACTGATGATCTGCTCTGCAAACCTTCACTCAATTCACAATGAAAAGTTATGATGAAATAATAAATAATAATAATAGAAGAATGAAGTCCAGATACCCCAAGTAAACACTGCATTGTCAAAATAATTACAAAAATAATATGAACAATCAAGGTGGAATGAAATACACCTTTCTAGTTGTAGAAAAATTTAAGTGGCCAGAAGTTCTTGCTGCTTTTCCCAACAAGAGATAGACTCTACTCAAGATAAAATAGACTCTTAACCATGGGAAGAAATTAATACATGTGTTACTCCGGTGCAGGGAAAAGCAACATACAGTAAGGAGGAGGTTGGCAAAGATGATGGGAGAGGGAAGACACTGGGAGTGCAAGCGTTAAAGGCACCAGAGGTAAATCATTTTATACACAAGCTCCTGCAGTAATGGTGACCTGGGAGAAGCCGCATGAACAGACATGGAGACTGAGCAGAGGTGGGAGGGAGAGGGACAGAATACCCATAGCGACAGGTAGGTTTAACACAGAATATTTATACACGGGTATTTACCTTTGCTGCAAATATATCCATGAATGTGGCAGAGGATACAGGGGGCAAAGCTATGGAAACTTAGATCTAAACAGACACCCTGAGGGACTGAGTCACTGGGTCTAGGGACTTGGGACCATAGTTTCGAGAGACACCATGGTCAATTGAGAGAATTCACAAAGTAGTGACTGGGGTCTTAAAAGCTTGTGAGCAGTCATCTAAGGTGCAATACTGGTCTCTCCCTGTCCCAAGAATGAAGTAAAGAAAATCAAAGATACATGAACAATTATTCCAGGGGGCCAGCGAATCACATAAACATCTGTCTCTAAACATGGTGCTCGGTTACCATTTTCAATTGATCTGGAAGGAATCATATTAGAAGGTCCTGGATAGAGTGAGAGAAACAATGTTGAATAAAACTTGAAATCATTTAAAAAAAGACATTGCTGGTCAGACAGACTGATGGAACCCCAAAACTACAGCCTTTTGTCACCCATTAGGTCTGGAACTGAACTCACTTCTATGGCTCAATTGTTAGCCAAACAATATACAGGTCTGTAATGGGAACAACAATGCTACTGAAGTACACAAGCTTAGAATCATCAACCATTTGAGATCAAAAGGCAGCATTTACCTAAGTACAAAGTTGAGAAGGGAAAGGGAAGAATGAATACAGGGAGAGAGTAGGGTAAGTGATATTACATCGAGGGGATTGTAATCAATTAAGTGAAACAAAATGTGTATTAATTGTTGAATGTAAAACTGATGATCTTACTCTGTAAACCTTCAC